CACAGTGTTAAGCACCAAATCTGTCTCTATTAAATAGTCTAATAAATAGTCTTGTGTTTCACCCCTTGGAAAGGATTGTTTTTTTCGTTATATTCACCCAGGTTTTTATATATTAAGAAAAAAAAGGTGCTGCTCCGTTGCGAGCTGCGGTTTGAAGAAGCGCAGCAGCTGCAGTGCAGGTTCCAGCCTGCCTGAGCTCGGCCCATGGGAGCGCCCGGAGTCGGAGCCATCCACGTATGAACGCGGAACGTCCGTTTGCCCCTGTGGCTGGAGAAGCCCGGGGAAGGCAGGAAATTCTGTCCCTGATGTTCGGATGGGAAGGCGGGAAGAGGGTGATGGGTGTCCATGGAGCTTGGGGGGTCCCCGTCTCCAGCCGCCCGGCACGAGGCAGCATGAGGTGGGGATGAGCAGGGAGCTGGGAGAGACTCGTGTCCGTGACCCTGCTCCGGGCTCCATCCGAACGGCTCCAGCCGAGCCCGGCGCGATGGAAACCTGGGCGAAGCCGCCGCGCGGGGCCGTGGGCTGCAGCCTCCTCCTGCAGGTACCAGGTGTTCCCTGAGGATGGCAGATTCAATATTGCTAAGGGGAAGGAGAAAGATAGAAAGAGGAGGCTTCTTTTTTTTTTTTTTTCCCCTGTAAACACAAATCTGTTTTGAGTCGACACAATGAGTCAGCAGCACAAGTCTCCCCACAGAGAAATTTCCACTACATTAGGACAAAGCTAGCAGGGGCCCAGCGTTTGGAAATAAGGCTCAGCATAAATGAAAGCAGCAAATCCCCGTTTGCACTGAGTTTTGGAGTCAAGCACTCCCATTTTTTGTTTGTTTGTTTGTTTTTTTCCAGAAAGCCACCAACCTGGCTCCTAAACCTCCCCACGGCCTCATCTGCACCCAGAGGCTGAGCAGAAGATGCCAGGCAGACGGGCAGAGAAGCAGCCACAAACATTCAGCACGTGAGACACTGAACCCCTTAATTACCAAACTAAAAACACCACAGAGGAGTTTTTACACACTTTAAACAACACTTGAAAGGGTAACAAAGAAGTATAATTTAGCAGTCCCCCCCAGTCTAGGCACAATCCAGTTTCTTACCAAATACCCCCAAAATTTCCTCTTTTGAAACAGGTCGTTCATGCCAGGGAGCAACTAAGGATAACCCGATACGAAGCTATTGCTCTGATCCGCACACGCCCCGGGAAGTCAGACACTCCCCACAGATGCCTCTCCTTTCTCTCTCCCAAAAGAGACAACATTCCTTCCTTTTCCGACCTGCTGAATCACAGGGCAGACAGGCGGGCGGCCCTGCAGCCCATGGCTGCCCGTTCTGCTTTGTCATGGGGGCGAGAGGATAGCTGGAAGTTAAAAGAAACACAAAACCCGCTAAAAGGACATCTTGCACTGATTTTTGAGGCGTTTGAGCTTAGATAAAAGACATATGCAATCAACATGAGGCAGTTAGATGATCCAGGAAAAGAGAAAAATAGAGAAAAGGAAGAGGAGAGGCATGCAAAGGGATTTAAGTGCTTTGGCAGCTGTGAACGTGGTATTTTTAGCCCAGTCTGTGGAACGCCAGGGACAGGGGTGACGAAAGAAAAAGGGATAACAGAGACCACACAGCAAACACAACATTGTCCAAGGAAAGCGCTTAGGCGCGCGCAGGCTTGAGCACAAGAGGTTTGTCCGGATTCACCACTAAACTCCCGGGGAGCACCTTGTTCTCTGCGTTTGGAAGCTAATTCTGCCAGCCATGAAACAGGCAGGATGGCTAAGCCAGAAAAGTCTGATGTTTAGGTTCCCCATTCAGAATACGTTGGATTCAGAGCTGAAGGGCAGTCCACAGTTCAGGAGCGAATGGCAGCGTTGAATAACTGCCCTGTAGGGGTACTTTTCTGGCCCTGCCTGTTCATCAGGTAGAAAAACGTGCCTGTTTTCAGCAGGTACTTTCCGTTCATAATCCTCCTTAATGCATTGCCACAGCGCTTGAGCTCTGCTTGCGTGTCCAGCATTAGGAGCAGATCTTTTCAGATCTCATTCTCCTCTGGAAAACTGGCAAGCGGTGAGTGGAAAATAAAGCAAGGCAGGAGACGCAGGACGTTAGAGACACTGCAGTGACCGACAGCAGGCAGTAAGAGCCAATGACCAGCAGGAGAACGCTGACTTTTGCTCTTTCAAACTTTGAACCGCAGTAGGGAAGACAAGCCCACATCTCTGTACAGGGCAATGTCCATGCGCTCTGGTTCGCTTTCCATGGAAAACACATTTCTTTACAATGAGGTCTCCGGAGAGAATCCCTACTGAGGAAACAGCAAGGCAAGATGCACTGCTGTTATCAAAGCAGAGAGGCCTAAATGTCTAAAAGAAAAAAAAACTAAATTAAAAAAAAAAACATTTTCAAAGGTAATAAAAGCAAATGTAAGAAATGTTAAAATTAATCGTAATAAGGGGAGGAGGTTAAGTAGCAAAAAGAAGCACAATGAAGCAGAGTCGGAGCACTACCAGGTGGCTGGGAAGAGGCAGGGAGACACGGTAAGGAGTGGAGGAAGACGAGCAACCCGTCTGATATCATAAGGACAGGAGAGGCCAGGAAATGATCCTGTGATTTCTTACAGAATTTACAGGAAACTTCTTGCACCCAGAAACCCAGAATATTCAACAGAAGA